ATTAAGCTCAAAGTTGTCAAATGGCACGAGGGCCGAGTTTGGTGTTGTTGGTTTTAGTTTGTGCTATGGCGGGCGTTCAATATGGTGGGGGGCAGCCACGAGTAGGGCAATGCCTAATTGGGTGCGGGCAAAGGCTAGTCTCATGCGCCATTGCTTGCGGGACAACGGGAGGCGGCATAGGAACACCATCGTGCTACCAAGCTTGTGGTACCAAAAACGTTGGTTGTGTCACGTCTTGTGTCGGCCCACGTGCGGTCCCGAAGCCCAAGTGTGGTTGATACTTGTGGCCATCTACCATTTTCGAAGCTTTTTTACTTTGAAAGAAATTCCTAGACGTGTGCAATCTCAAGGTGTAGCTAGCCTTGAGGCTAGCTGTTGGCTAAATAAAGTGATGTTTTATTAAATTATGGAGTAATAAGGTTATCCTTTTTTTTTTTGGCTCTTGAAATTTTGTATAGGAGTGTGTGGTTTTAGTTTTTCTGCATATTCTTGAACTTTCAATATACCTATTCAATTTACAGATATTTCACATATGAATTTGTTTCAGTACCAAATCCACCTTAATATTGTATTCAAAGATGCAAATTCCCACATCAAAATTGGAGCTATAATTACGTTGGGGTTGTCCCATTGTGTAGGGCCTGGGGATCAGAGTGCTTAGTCCCCCCTCCCAAACGGGGAGTTGGTCCATGCAACAAGTAGCTGATTTGCTAAATAATGAAATCGATAAACTGATATCAATTTTTTATTTTTTTCCCTCTAAAAACGGCATATCTTTTAACATCAACTAGAAAATGCATAACAACGATAGCACGACCACGGCACTACCACAAGGTAGACTAGGAGAAACGCCAAAAGACGCGTCCTAGACTAAAGCAAAAGGGAACGGAAATAGATATGCTTGCATCCTGAGCTGACTAAAGCAACTGAACCTGGAGTATGACCTCTAAAACAACAACACTAGAAAACTAACCAAGTTAGCACCTAGCCAAAAGGAATACCTGCCACTGCACCATAAGAACCTAGCAGGTAAACCATCTAAGAATAGAAGCAACAACCAACAAAACCAACAAATTCCAAATAAAAACAGAATGAGCAGCCTAACCAAACAAAACTTGCACTAAAAAGCAGCTGAGAAGAACTACTATCTATAACCAACACTGTTCAGCTCCCCAAACCAAGAGAGCCATGGCACAACCACTACCAAATCAACAGAACAAAGAGCTAAACTAAACAAAACATGATATGAACTCAAGGCAATCAAAAGTTGCAAGCTGGACAATTGGATATTCTGCATGCAAGTAGTTCTGAAACACCCATAAGTTGCGAGCTTTCCACATCCACCAAAGCTGGTAAGACGTGAGCTGGATTCTGGAGTCAGAGTCGACTGATGAGTTAAGACGGCAAAGCTTTGTCCACTATGTCTTAAAGCAGTCAGAATCTTGATGCAGTCCTTCCCAAGAGATTGGAGCAAGTTTTCAAATTCTCTTAGCTCTAGGGGAGTGCAAGAAAAAGTGCTCAGCGGTCTCTGGTGCTTCTCCACATGATTTACAGAGGTGATTAAAATTCACATGTTTCTTCAAGAGGTTGCAGTTAACAGACAAAATGTTAGAGAAGCATTTCCAACAGAAATGTCTGATCTTCCCTTTAATTTTGAGCCCCCAAGTTCTTTTCCTTGACTTTTTTGTGAGTTGCGAATTTCTACTTCCTTCATGTAAGTCCAAATTCCTACATTTTTATTCTACCAGAAGGTCATAAGTTGAGGCAACAAATCTACCCTTTTTCGATGATCCCACACCATCTTGTCAGGTCTGTATGGTTCAAGATCTTTAATTTTGAGGATGACTTTACTTCCGAGTTGAATGAAACAGCTCTTTACCAGATCAGGGTTCAAATTCCTTCCAATGGAATTTATGAGTTCAAAAACCCAAGTGATCTCATGCCTTTTTAAGCTCTTAGGAGATGGTTTGAAACCTTTCACAATAGGAATCCATGGATGAACCCCAAAGGTTGACTGATGCCCCATTCTTGATTTCAAATATGGTACTTGTACTTAGAGTTTCTCTGGCATACGTCCAACTATTCCGCATCAGTGATGCATTTTGTTTCATCTTGGCTGAGAGGAGATTACACTGAGAAAATTACTTTACCTTGAGGAGTTTTCTAACCATGACGTCTGGGTTGTTGATGATTCTTCAGAGCTGGTTTGTGATAAGTGCCTTGTTCATGAGGAATAAATCATGGAAGCCAACTTACCCGTTGTCCTTTGGCAAAGAGAATGCTCTCAGGATTTCCAGTGTTGTAATAAAATTACATGTGAAAAGAGAATTGTATTATGTGAGAATCCTTAGATATGATGGTGTGTTTAATGTTGTAAGTAAAGAGTAATATTAATGTTACATGTGGAAATGTCCAAATTCAATTTGAGGAAGGCTTAACCGTGTTC